AAGTTGCCCTACCTGATTGTAGCCCCAAATCAAAATGTCCGTTTTTGTGAAACGCTGAAAGCTCTCCGAGGTGGCGACTTTTTCATTTCAAGAGAAGAAGAATCAATCTTGTTTTGTTGCTACCAGAAGTCCTCGACTTACGACCGCGATTGAGCCCAAAATGGCCGTTGCTGAGTGAGGTAGTTTTCTAAGGGAGCTTGGCCTTAATTTTACAGCTGCAGTTTTGCCACCATTGTTAAGTGAATCACTGCAGTTGTTAAGTTAGTCACCCGGTTGTTAAGTGAATCTGACTTCCACATTGACATTGCTCGTTGGAAGGTCATAAAAGGGGATTGCGCAACCCCGGGATCATCATAAATATGAATCATAAATATGAGTCGGTAGCCAAGCAAATGAATTTTGAACTTATGACCCTGGAGATGCGGCCATGGTCGTAAGTGTGAAAAGTGGTCCTAAGTCACTTTTTTCAGTGTCGCTGTAACTTTGAACGGTCATTAAATGAGAGGTTGTAACTCAAGAACTACCTATAATTCATTAGGCTAATCAACTAGGGCAATCACCAGGAGATTATGAATTCTGGTCCCGCCTTAGGCATGAAAGCCCGCTGGGTAACCAGGCCAATCACCAGGAGACTATGAATTCTAGTCCCGCCTTAGGCATGAAAGCCCTCTGGGTAACCAGGCCAATCACCAGGGGACTGTGAATTCTAGTCCCGTCTTATGCATGAAAGCCCGCTGGGTAACCAGGCCAATCACCAGGGGACTGTGAATTCTAGTCCCGCCTTAGGCATGAAAGCCCGCTGGGTAACCAGACCAATCACCAGGAGACTGTGAATTCTAGTCCCGTCTTATGCATGAAAGCCCGCTGGGTAACCAGGCCAATCACCAGGGGACTGTGAATTCTAGTCCCGCCTTAGGCATGAAAGCCCGCTGGGTAACTAGACCAATCACCAGGGGACTGTGAATTCGAGTTCTCCTTTAGCCCTGAAGGCCAGCCCACCACACAGGGTTGTCGTTGTGGGGGAAATAGGAGAAGAAAAGACTATTAGATATGTTTGTCTTCTTATTTGTAAAAACAATAATAATAAAGGCGGGATATAAATCCATCAATTAATCAATAACCTGCCTTTGGTCAGATCTTCTCCAACAACCCTGCAAGGGAGCACAGGCAGAACAAAACAGAAGCCATTTTGGGTTGGCCTCTCCTTCCTGAGCAATTATCAATGCCACCTTGGAGCTCTCTCTGGCTTCTGAACTCTGGCGATTTTAAGACAGCTGGACTTCAACTCCCAGAATTCCCCATGGCTAGCTGGGGAATTCTGGGAGTTGAAGTCCACCCCTCTTAAAAGCCCCTGAAGTTCAGAAACACTGTCGGAGAAGCCAAAAAAGAGCATCCAGTCAGAACGAAATCTGAAGTCTTCCAGGAGGGAAAAAAAAGAATCCTTAAAGCCAAAAACTTTTGTTGCTGTCCAAAAGTTGTGGGTTTTTTGGTCTCTCAGCAGATTCTTCCTCCCCACCTCCCGCACCCCGCCAGTCTGTCTTCTCCTCCCATCTATGATCCCTGCCTGCCCCCCACCCACCCCCACCCACAACCAGCCAGCTGTGGATACTGGGTTGCCCAGTTGACTCAGCCCTCCGATTTTGCTGAGTTTGAAACCTCCTAGTTTCTCCCGTCTTCCTCATCTGTCTTCCCGGGAAACGGTCATTAAAAGGTGCTTCGCTCCTTCTAGAAGCCACAAGATCCTTCCTTTGGGGGAGGGGAACATCTTCCCTACTCTCTCCCTAAATAAATTTATTTCTTTTTTCTCTCTCTCTCTTCCCCCAGGTTACTAAAAGTTGGTGCAATTTCTAGACCATTCTTCCTGGAATTCGGCCATACCCTGAAAAATAAAATAAAAGGAGGAGGCAGGGAGAAAGCGGACGTGGGAAAGCTTAAAAAAAAATAAAAATCTGGAATCAGCAAAATGTAAATGCCAGAAACCACGTCTGGAGCTAGAGAGCAAAGGAAAATAATTTAAAAAATAAAAAATAAAAAACCCCAATCTGTGGTATGAATGGGTGAGGGGAAAGAAGAAAGGCGCAAGGCACTTCTGGTTGCAGATCAACAAACGCAAAGGACTGCAGAGTTGGTGGTTTGCTGCCCTTAATCGTCTTTTATTTCCCAGGAATCGTGTTCTCATCACAAGGAAAGTCTTAAAGTTGGCCTGTCTCCTTTCTCCTCCTGCAATTCAATTCCTTCACCTGGGTTTAGAAGAACAAGGATAGGAAAAGATGGGTGATTAAACAGGAGGAAGAGGAGGAGGAGGAGGAGGAGGAGGAGGAGGAGGAGGAGGAGGAGGAGGA